CGTGACGGAGAGCTTGGAGCACTCTTTGCCTTGCCCTTTGGCTTCGGCCTTGTGCCTTCCCCCTTTGTGTCTCCTCCATCTCCCTTTGTAGGGCACGCGCTCGAAAGATGTCCTTCTGCACCACAGGTATAGCATCGATTCTTCTTGGAGACCCCTTCAAAGGAATGTACAAACTTGCAACTTGCTCCTCGTCTGCATCCCCCTGGCTCCGTGAACCACTTGCACTTCTTCTCTGTGTTGCTCCCAGTTATCCCGCTTGGTGAAGAGGTAGTAGTTGAGGCATTCGTCGGCGGCTTCACAGGAGCAGATGGACTTGGCTGGAACGGCTTCAGTCTGGTGTCACGCTGTGACTCGGTCGCAGTCACAGAAGATCTCACCGCAGAGGGAAGACCATTCACAAGGTTCTCTGACTCCGCCCTCAAGTGTTGATGCAACTGTAAAGCCGACTCCCACGTAGGACTCACATCCACTCCCAGCCTGCTCTTTACAAGCTGTGTGCGGAACATCACATCCTTGTCCTTGGCCCATAGATCTGACACCAAACCGTTCAGCCCACGAACCAGCAAGGAAGGATCTGGTTTCGCAATGTGCAAGTTGTCTGCCCTCAAAAGAAGTCTTTCCCATTGTCGAAGCACACTAACCAAGTCGGTTGCCGAGGCTGCCTTTGGAGGGTTGACGAGGTACTGCAAGATGTAGGCCTTCTCACTCTCACCCCCCGGCTGGTACATGGTGTATAATCTAAACAACAAAGCCATAGGTGAACGAGTAATTGCCCTCGCAACCATCTCTGCTCGAACTCCCTCCGTCATGGCCTGCAGCATCATCCCCGCCGTCCTCGCGCTCAACCTCGAGAAGCGACCTTGCTCGAGATCATCAGCAGTTGGCGGGTTCAGGGATAGTCTTTCGTAAGGTCCCGAGGCCACCCATAGTTGGTAACCCTTCTGAGCCCTCTCCTTCACCGCGTCCCACCACCAAGAACTGCTGTCTGAAATATCCCGAAGAGGACCATCGATGACCTCAATCCAGTCTTGAAGTGCCACAGCGCTCTCGTGTCCGCTAGGCGGAGGTAGCGAAGGCAACGACGTAGTCCCAGGCTTACACTGCTCAGGAGGTTCCTCGTTCCTTCGCTTCTCCGCCCTTTCGAACTGGTCCAGCTGCGCCTTCTGCAACTGTTGCATACCCTCTGCCAACGTTTCCAGAAGTCTCTCACTCTGAGACCTTGGCCCTGTTGTCGGAGGCGCTGTAGTCGCAGACGGCCTTCCAGTTGTGACCTGAGGGATCACCGAAGGGCCCGATTCGCATCTCGTAGCGCTTATGTCGGGTCCATATACAGTCGGAGGTCCTGCTGGATACTGCATCTCTGGTCCACTGTCGACCCTCTGCCTCACATACCGTCCCTCTGAAGGCTCAAGCAGAGAGTGCACATGTTGTTCAAGACCTCGTCGATCGGATCCTCGAAGCTGCGAAACCTCCATTGGCTGACTAGGCACTTCCCGAAGATCACCATGACGTTGATGACCATCATTGCCTTCACGGTGAAGCTGACCGCCTTGAGGATCACCAGTATGCCGAAGACGACCGTCATGTTCATGCCAGGGAAAACTACCACGAGGATCACCAGGTTGTAGAAGCCGATCATCATGTTCGCGCTGAGGTAGACCACCACGAGGATCACCAGGTTGTAGAAGACGACCATCGTGTTCGCGCTGAGGTAGACCACCACGAGGATCACCAGGTTGTCGCTGGCCATCGTGTCCATGCTGAGGTAAACCACCACGAGGATCACCAGGTTGTCGCTGGCCATCGTCTCCCTCACGTTGGAGCTGACCACGCGATTCCTGATCGGCCACCAGCCTCGCCCTCTCCGCCCGAAGAAACTGGATCTCTTCCCTCATCTCATCGAGCTGGTAAGACTGAGCCCTCATGAAGCTATCCATTTGGCGTTGAACTTCGGCATGAACCTCTGAAGATCCCGTCGTCGAGTCCCCTTGTGAGCGCCCTCCTCGGCCGTAGAGCCAAGGTGCCCTCTGGGAAAACCTCATCATCTGTTCCCATGCCTCTCGTGAGAACAGTGGTGCCTCCTGACTCTGAAACTCCATGTTTTGACCCCATCCTCCACGTCCTTGAGGAAGTTCTTCAGGCGGGGAAAACTGGATTGGAGAGCCTTGAGGAGTGCTTCTTGNNACGAGAAATCCAACGCACAACCGTCAGAGACGATGAGCCTTGCTGGACTTCCATATCCGCTCTCATAGCATGCACGCTCCCATCTTCAAGAGCCATAGCTGTAGCAACTGACGCCTGGCCCCCAACTGAAGCCTGACTTGGAACCATGACCTGATCAGGCCTATCCACTGAGGACTCCGCAACAGCAGGTTGCTCAACAGCTACGTTCTGCTGAC